GGGATAGTGGTGTGTGTAGTTTCATTAGAACTAATAATGAAAACAGTATTAACTTTTGCTAAAATTTGTCTGTGTCAAATTTTCATAATTGCACCGTACCGTTGTTATTGTGGGATGGTGGTGTGTGTAGTTTCATTAGAACTAATAATGGAAACAATTTTAACTTTTGCTTAAATTTGTCTGTGTCAAATTTTTATAATCGCACCGTATCGCTGTTATTATGGGATGGTGGTGTGTGTAGTTTCATTAGAACTAATAATGAAAACAGTATTAACTTTTGCTAAAATTTGTCTGTGTCAAATTTTCATAATCGCACCGTATCGCTGTTGTTATGGGATGCTGGTGTGTGTAGTTTCATTTGCGAAATTTCTTTTTGATAATTTGGTGTTATCGGTGCCCGTTTCTGCACGAGTAAGAAGACTCGACGATTGCTATGCACGTATTTCGAAAGTCCTTTTTATGGTAACGCGATTTAAGAAGCACTCGTTTGAATTTCAACGATTACGTCGATACCGAAGATTGCGTTTCTCGGAAATCCATTATTAGAAATTGGCTCCGAACTTCAGTGATAAATTTGGATCGAGTATTTCCACTTCAAACCTGAGGTTTGCCCAACCATTGCGATGCAGTTGCAGTTTTCGTCGATCGTAGGCGAAAAGATAATAAACTCTCACGGGTTGCGGGATAAATAATTTAATCTCTGGGTATATTTGGAGGCAGCCGGATGCTGGATAAGTCAATTTCCAGATTCATGAACACCAAACGTCCACAGAGATTTCCGTTTTACCGAGCTATAAAGACCTCGTCTACAATGTTAAAGCGATTGGAAATTGCCAACTCGATGTAGAAATTATTTTGAAAATTGTTACCATCTGACTTACCTATTCAAATTAATTACCAGAGTAATCTAAATGGAGAATGATGATCGTTCAGTTCTTAAATGTAGTTTTTATTGCTCTCATTAATTTCAACGCATATTTACATTTCACGTGGTTATTTATTTTTACTTCGAGGTCATATGATCGGTAATATTTTCCGAGTATTTATATTTTTAAACAATGAGAGGAAGGAACTTGGAATGGACGTTTATAATGTATTCGGCAGATAATATTTAAAAAATACTTAAAATGAAACGAAATATTTTGTATATCCGGTAGGAAAATATTATGAAAACGCATGGAGATAATATTATATAAATACTATAGAGATAATAATCTGAAGTAAACGTTTTGCAAATATTTCACATGTCTGTTAAATATTTACAAAATGTACGATATTCGTTAAATACATAGAAAATATAGGGCAAATATTTTGTGCTACTAGGATTCTATCGAAGACTCTTGAAAAAAAAGTATTTTACTCGAATGACTGATTTTAGGGGGGTTTCACTTCACCTTAAGACAGGAGAAACCCAATGATAGGAAGAATTCCCGTTTTCCCATTTTAAAAGATCTTATCTCCACCTCCACCATAACGTTAAATATTTGCAAAATGTACGATATTCGTTAAATACATAGAAAATATAGGGCAAATATTTTGTGCTACTAGGGTCCTATCGAAGACCCTTGAAAAAAAAGTATTTTACCCGAATGACTGATTTTAGGGGGGTTTCACTTCACCTTAAGACCGGAGAAACCCAAGAAGAAGAATTCCCATTTTCCCATTTTAAAAGAAGATCTTATCTCCACCTCCACCATAACGTTTCCATACTCGAAAGGGATCTTTTATTACGACGTAATATCAGTCGTGAATAACCCGCGAGAACCGTGGAACCATCTCAGAGTTGGCCGTTCGCGGGCATAATTCTCGCCAGTCGACTTTCTTCGAGGTCCTCGATCCGAATCCCGGGTGCCTCTACCTCCTTAGATTCCGTGGTGGTAGATAGGGCGCTTCTTTGAGCCGAAGAAGAAGAGGGCCCCGCCGTATAACAATCTTGAAGGATCGGATCGCTTTCCTACGCGATCTTGCGCGTGTGCACGCGGTACCTTGAGGTTCTCTTGCCTACGTGTGCCCTCGCGCATGTGTACATGGATGCACATGTACGTACGTGGGGGTGTGCGAGCGTAATCGTTTATTTCGCGTCGACCTTTGCAGGGCACTACGTCAAGTTGTCAGACGCGACCCCGCCTGGCGTATGGAAGATGCACTGGGAACGTTGTAATGGGCTTACAAAGCGTAACAAACTGATGCGAGGTCAAACACACGACGGGCAATAAACACACGCCGAGATAAATGGCCCTTAGGTTCCACGGGGAAAGTGTTTTGGCGCGTTTAAGCGCGCCCGTGGTATTCCTCAGGGTGGCGGGATCTTTGCCGGCCGACGTACTTCGGGTCTGGTACCGCCATTAAGTGCATCGAATCGGCGTTACACTTTTTCGCTAGGTGGATTTTCTAATCGTTCCTAATGCTCGTGGCATTGTTTCAAAGAGTGGCGAGGCGTATATCAAATGAAATTTATTCATGTGTGGAGGTCTTCGTTGTCTTCGATGGCATCGGTACCTACCCCACGAAGGACGTAGAGGTAATTGGATTTAGTCTTTCTTGTTATCTAAATTTTGACATACAGGCTGGTCTTTGTTCTCTTTGGTTGTGGGGTACAAACTTAACGCGCAAACGTCACAAACATTTGTTACTCGCAAACGCTCGCAGCAAGATTAAACAATGAATTGTTTTACAAGGGAGGAATACTTTTACACGAATTAATAATGAGAACCGAAATGTTTGTCATAACGTGAAAGTCACGTCATGTCACATTGAGTCGGCATTTTTTATTATAGCGCTCTGCAGATAATTCGTATTGAACTTTTTTCTGGTCGAATTTTAGAATACGGTAATTAACTGCAGCCGAACAATTACCGAGAACGTATTCCACGACGGTATAATTCTACATCCATATTAAACTTTTCGGTCATGTCAAAAGGACCATCTGTCCCATTTTTTCAGTTGCTCTTAACCCTTTGTCATACGTCAATTTTCATAAATACGTCGATATAACTAGTCAATATAAGGTAAACAGTTAATTACTCGCTTGGTTACTCTGAAGTACTTTCAGGTACACTTAGGCTCGTCATAAAGATGAAAGATATATTTCTGTCTGGTGTATCTTAGAAGAGCTGGAATCCTGATCTTGTATGTAGAAGAAAAGAGTGGTAGTAATGATCGTAATAGCAGCAAATTCAATTAATTTCCAAACTATTGCGTTGGACAGATTTAGTACGCCGTTGTGGGAAATTAATTTTTGCAACGGCTATTCTCCGATGCGGTATAATTAAAACATTTGTCAATGTTAATAGAGATAGAAAACGTACAGCTGCTGTATCGCAGCTGTGAAGAAAGACACCGATAACAAAATGTGCGAAAGGTGAGACTTTCGGGTCGGATGATGTTTCGGGTAACTTGGGAAGGTTTCTTAAATTATTTCGGGTTATCACAAAGTTCATCGGCGTTCCGTGAATTTGTTACTGGTTCTTTGAAACGGTAAAGAGAAAATGTTTCACCACAAAGTATTGTAGAAAGTACAATGGATTGACGTAAGAACATAGCTAAAAAAACTAAGTGCTCGAATTCATTAGGCGGGAGTAAATCGGCATGAACGTTCATTATTATAGAAAACCTGTATTCTGCCCTACGGGTTATTATTTCTATTTAAACAGGTCTATTTTAATAATAGAACATTTTATCAAATAATGCGATTCGAGGATAAAGCTTATCTTATCATTACTAGACAAGCTCCCTTCATCCAACCCAGTATAAAATTTAGACATAGAGTTGGTACATGGTCAAAATGATATCACGGTTTCTGGTATCCAATAGGCAAAAGTTTAGTATTAAATCAATACAAATTGTAGTATGGAACAATTCCACTAAATCCTCTGGGAGACCGAAACAGTCATTACTCGGTCAAGTCATTAACCGGACTAAATGCCGTGCTGATCATGTTTAGGTTATTTACTCTTTTGGCCGCTTGGTCATTTAACCGGTTAACAGAGTAAATTTTCACAATAAATTCCAACTTCTCGGTGTGGTCACGTCGGAGCATAAAACTCCCGATAAACATTCAAATCCGAGTCCATTAGGATCCATAAGCATTAAAATTCGATTTGCATTCCGCGGCGCAACGTAGCATGCCACTTTCTACATTAAGCAGAGCATGTACAACATATCGTTGGTGTAGTCGTGTTACCTAAAATTTCCAACAGGAAGTTCTTACGCGTTTACGCCCAATCATAGCGTGCCTGTATGTTCCATATAATTTAAATCTTTATTAGATGTATAGGCAAGCTTTTAATCTTTAATAATAAAAAGTTTCACCTGAGCGATTGCTATGTGAACCACACTTCACGGTAATTTCGTAATCAGGGATATACCTGCGTAATTTTTATCTTGGGTAATTTGAAATCATGCGCTATAGGTACTAAATGTATTTATATATGTTAATACCATCTGTCTCACAATATTGACTTAAATGACGATTCATTCTTCATTATTAAATTTTACCGCGTGTCAACAATTGTCATCTACGTTCGACTTTAGTATCCGTTTCCTTTGATCGCCTCGAATTTCGTCATTGAATTATTGAATTATTAGCGAAATTTAGTCGTTAGGGTTACAAAGACAATTTATAATGTTTAATTTCTCATCTCTGCGATCTTGGTTTCCGTAAATGACCATTCATTTTCCATTATTAAATTTTACCGTCTGCCGACAATTGTCATCGAAGTTCGACTTTAGTATCCGTTTCCTTTGATCACCGCGAATTTCGCCATCGAATTATTGAATTATTAGCGGAATTAAGTCCTTAGGGTTTGAAAAACAATTTATAACGTTTAATTTCTCATCTCTACGATCTTGGTTTCCTTGCAGATGCTCGATGCTTGATACTCGACGCCGCGAATTTCGCCATCGAATTATTGAATTATTAGCGGAACTTAGTTGTTAGGATTACAAAGACAATTTATAATGTTTAATTTCTCATCTCGACGATCTTGGTTTCCTTGCAGATGCCACAAACAGTGCCCACGGCCGCTGGCTTCTCGCCATCGTTCGACTACAGCACCTTCCAGTTCGACCTGTCCCTTTTGCCAGAGGAGTACAACGTTCAGAACACGCAAATCACCCTGAAGCCGACCCAAATCAAGCAGGAAGTCCATTCGCCCCGTCCCGCTTCGCCCACAACCTACCCCAGTCCGCCGTATCCTAGGTTAACTGGTGAATTATCCCCGAATTACTCTCAGGACGGTTCGCCAGGGTATCCCACGAGTCCTTGTTACGTTCCGCACAGCCCACAAAGCGCCCAGTTCTATCCAACAAGTCCCGAACCATCCAAACAGCCGGTCAAGAGGGAAAAGAGCCTCGACCTCTTGGCTATCCTCCAAGAATCCAGGTAATTACTATTCCAGCACTTCTTATTAACTAATATGAAATTATTAAGGGGATGTGAAAGTGCCATCTGAAAGGTCAATCGTTCATGAAACTTTTCGCTTAATTAGGCATAACGAATTGTTTCAAACTTTTCAACCTGAATATAAAAGCTATAATGAAAGTTATGACACCTATGAAATTTCACGTTAAACATAAATTTAAATATCTGTAAGCAAATTGTTTAAAAATATGGAAAATACTCTTTAGAGCAAAAATTTAGTTGCAGATAAATGTCATAGATGTTGGTTCGTCAAAATATAAATAGTCATGGATTCATGGGATTTCCGCAGTTTTACATCGATCTTTTTATCACTACTTTACCGAAATGATATATAGAACCCTTCAGTTCGTATAATTCTCAACGCAGATTGTAAAAGACTTGAATATAAATATAAATGTCGGTAATGGGACGCGTCAGCTTATGTTACTACTTGAGTATTCAAAAGGGTATTCCCCCCAAAAAGGGGATAGTTGAATTTTATTTTATCGACGTCGATTAAATTTCTTAGCGTCTTTCATATCCTCTTAATACACGGAATGGTGTTTAGACTGCTTGCAGAGAGCCTGGGTTACAGGGAGGACTCGACCGACTGCACTGTACCTTGCACTCCACCCAGAACAGAGGAAGACATTTACAACTCCTTGGACTCGGATTTTTTCCCCCGAAAAGAGTCTTCCAACTCCCTTTTGAAAGAGATCCTCTTCAAGGAGGAACCTCTGTCATCGGCTTCTCCGTCATCTTCGTCATCTTCCTCGACTTCCTCGGCGTCCCCACGACCTGCGGAACTCGAAACTTCCCCTCTTCGAGAACTCCTCTACAAGGGGAGTCAAAAGAGTATCCTGGAGGAAGTATCAACGATAAAAGTTGAACGACAGCAAGAGGAAGTACTAACCGTGAAGCTCGTCAATCCTGCCCAGAGGGAGGAAAGCCTCTTCAAGGACGGACAAAAGAGCGACCATCAATTACTCAGAGAAGTCCTGCGGGACACCAGCTTCCAACGAAAGTACAATCTGAGGCCCGTGGACCTCGGTAGCGTTGGTACTGGATTCGTCGAGGACATGGAGGGCAACGAATGCGTCGGTGACCTCGCCAGGGAACAAATCGAACCCGTCCTTAGCCTCGCGATCCAGCAACTCCAGAAGGACTTCGACAACACTTGCGTGGCACTAGGTATCCACCCTGGTGAGTGAAAACGGTTCTTTTATAATTATTTTTAGAGTGATTCCATCGGACATACCTCCCAGTACCTTGGTATCGCATGTCTTTCTCTGAGTACAAACTTACCGCACCATAATTGTCCTAACAGTCAACGTCAAAGCTCAAAGTCGTTTTTCAATTAAGGTGAATTGAAATACGTGGAGGAACTTGATCGACGTCGGTAAAGAAGGTTTTTCTAAATACCCACGTTCCCGACGTTCGTTTTTATATTCACAGCTGTGTCGAATTATATTCAGTATTGTACTTAATGGCATACTGTATCTATTGTTTTCGTACGATAATTATAAAGAAATCGAAGTAAAGCTCCAAAAATCCTCTGGATTTATCGTTTCTGAGGCCCTAATTGACTGCAGTGTGCCCCCTGCGCCATCTGTGATTTCCGTGTCAACTAAATTTTTATCGATTACCTGAGTGTTCTACATTGTAATCGTTAAATTGTTCTGACACTCCGCAACGTTGGTATTTAGAAAACCCTTTTTTACCGACGTCGATTAAGTTCTTTGATGTGTTTCACTCCAACTTGATATATAGATCATGCGTTTCTGACTTCGGATACAGGCCTACAGGAATTTTGAACTCTCAAGCAAATTTGGCTGTAGATCCATCTGTCCATTTGCTTTTTTAACCTCGTCCCACGACGCCGTTACCTTGCCGGAGGCTGCAGGAACCACACAAGACGGGGCCGGTTATTCGTATTGGTCTAAGTCGTGACGTCAGGCTCGGAATAAGTTACAGCACTGCGACTCATGTCAGTGCTTTCACGGGGTTACGAAACTTCGAGGTTCCCCTCAAGGTCGACACGATTTTGTCCGATCGACCCATTGCTTGAACTACTTTGTGGCCAGGAGACAGCGATCTATCGATTGCTATCAATCGGGGGACACGCCATTTCCTATGCCTTCTCAGCACCATAGATGAAATAGTGGGTTCGGCACCACATTCAGAAGATTTCCTTAGATCCAAACTTGTTATATGTACGTTCCATTACATGTTACAAACGTTTCGTAATGGTTATGTGACACTGAAAAAGCTCGCGTCGTAAATCCTTGGGGGAAGAGGGGCTCTATTAGTATTTTCCTGAAGGAGGATTTAACCTTTAGCAGATGATTTCGCGTATAAATGAAATTATTCCGGATTTAGGTGACATAGAATAAACTATCTTATACGGTGCAATGAAAAGCGCGTGATAGAAGTAGATCAGTTGACTCGGCAACTGATTTTTTACAATGAACTTAAAAAATAGCAAAGTGCATAGCTCACCCTCAAACTCGGTGGAGGAAGAAAGTGAGACTTGGGTCGAGCTTTCTCATTGGTAGGAAAAATTCTCGAAGGTTCAGGGAAGTCGCGGGTCCACGGAATAATTCCTTGAGTGACATGTGGGAGCCAGAGACAAACTTAGAAATTTTTGGAAAATTAGAAAATGTGTTCACCAGACCGTCCCGTGTCTTTGAGGACAACCCTCGAAAAGACCCTTTTCTCGGGAGGACCTCGAGGTTTTTTTGGGCCTTGACTCGAATGGTTAAAAAATGACTAATTTATCCTACGAATTGATTGGGATGGGCTACCGACGCTCCGGGTTAAACTATTGTTACGTAGCCGCGTTTGATGGGAATATACTTTAAAAAATGGGAAAATACTTAAGGTACTTACTCGCTATTGGTCATGTATCTATTTGTCGAATCTCTGTTTAATTGCTTTTTTAGAACCACGCCGCTGGAGTGCGGCCGACGTTGCAGCTTGGGTGCAATGGGCGAGAGGGCAATTACAATTACCCTCGGTACCTCTAGAAAGCTTCAACGTTGACGGAGCTACCTTGGCGACCTTCACGGAGGAAGAATTCTGCCAGAGAGCACCCGAGGTGAGTGATTCCATTTCAGATTAAGATTTTCCTCAAACGTAGGTCCCTCGTACTTTCCCTGAGATTGCATCTCCGATTTCTCATGAGATCGTACGGCACAATCACGCGTGGGAACCATTATGGGGCAAATTGCGGGAAATCAGATTCCAGAAGTACCGTTTATTCTATCAGCTGGATCGAACGGCGCGTTCGATCTGAAAAATATGCTTCATTTTAAACGATTGTTGATTCTTCCCTGCGCAGGAAGTATGCAAACAATAATGGGGTAATGCGCAAGGACAATGCGCAGCGTTATTGCCTTCGATAACGGATTAGGGATAATGTGATAGCATGCATAATTCTATTGTTTAGCAATAACAGCACTGTTATCGGGAATACCTATCTTTTTCAACTCTTATCATTTCGTATCGGTTAATCGTAGTCTCGGAACTAACTCGCTTCAATATGACTCAGGTCGTGATTACAATTTCATCAATTTCAAGAGCACGCAGTCCGGGTTAAGTTTATCCATCTAATAAGCAAACCATTAAAAACTGAACTATGAGAAATCCTCTGAGGATTTTCCACGATATAGGGAAATCTTTATGACTTTTCGAGGATCTCTTTACTTACTCCTTTTCCTTAAAAAACGCATTTGTATGGATTAAGGTGATATGAAGGAGTCAGCCTATATATATCTGTGAGGTCAAATCGTTGGTGAAAGTATTCCCCGAATTGGGGGTACCGATTCGTTTCAAATTTTACCACGGGAATACGGAGGCCCTAAAGTAGGTCTTGAAACTCAGGAAATTTCACTCTTCATCCAAAATGTATTTACTTATCATGGACTAGAACCAACATGGCGTGGTCCGGGAACGTTTTCGATCTTTTCCGCTTCTTGGAGGCATAGAATGGAAAATTCAGAATACCGTAGAAATGAAATATTCCAGAGCCAGATGGGAAAATGTGGTAAATACTTTCACCGACGAGAATGCTGGCTTGTCCTGCGGCTAACTCATGTTTTTAGAGAAAAAATTTAGTTGCAGCTAAACGTCACAGATGGCGACGTTGGTCCTAAACAGTCGTTAGAATAATGAATTCCCGGGATTTCGGCAGTTTTACATCGATCTCTGCGTCATTACTTTCCTAAAATGACATATGGAACGCTTCAGTTCGTATAATTCTCAACATAGACTGTAAAAGACTTCAATATAAATATAAATGTCGAGACCGTGACGGCTTATGTTACCACTTGAGTATTCAAAATGGCGTCCCCACCAAAAAGGGTATAGATGGATTTTATTTATGTTTTATTTTATCTTTTTATTCAATATTTTTAATTTATCCACCTCGATGAAATTTCTCAGCGCCTTTCATATCATCTTAATGTGGTCCATTTGAGCCACGTCAGATTCGACGTAAACGCTGATTTTGGTTGCACCATGGTTGCACAACAGGTCTCGATTTCATTCGTCCAAAGTCCAGGCTGGAGATTTCGGATTATCCCAGGGATTTATCGTCGCCGCGGATGAGAATCTCCCTAGGAGGTTATCACCTTGGCCTTAGTCGACCCGACCTTCCAATGGTGCGGTCTCGAACTTCGACCCATCGCTTAATCTCTCCGGGTACACTGTGGACACGAATGCCTTCCCGTTGTGCATCAACAACGCCATATCTGTAGGAAAGGCATTCATGTCCGCCACTGTACATGGCAGCGAAACAATCTAGGGGAAAATGGGTATTTCTCGGATACCGCGCAAGTCGGACAGTCGCTTGCCCATTGTCAATCGGAATTCCCTATTCCCCTTTGACCCGGTTCACAGTTTCCTCCAAGTTAGCCCAAGTCACCTCGTTTTAAGTCGACTTGTCTCTGTCGTTTCTGTCTGACATGACTCGGTTGCCTTTGATCACTGATCTATATACACTATGGTTCTTACTCATATCTCACTTTTAGGGTTAAAAGACGTATTTTAGAGCACCGTTAAAAGTTANATATATAATATATTCGGTGCTGTCGAGATCCGTTGAGGAACGCAATGAACTAAATTCTCGTTCAAGGTATAGTAAAGTGCTCTGAAACGCGGAGTGAAAATGAATTATGATCGCAATTCATACGTTGAAATCAATAATCCGTTGATTAGACACAGTAAATGGTATGCCGTGTATCGTGAGCTCGGATTAATTCTCGAGAATGATACCATTACGGCTGTTGGGAGTTTCACTCGGAGCACGGTTTTCTCAACGCTCTCTGGCACGTCGCTCTTCCTATGTTCTCCCTTCAGAATCGTATTTATTTTCTGAACCCCCCAATTTTATTGCTCCCCTTATGAGGCTCATAACCGTACCTCTCGACACGTCCTTATTTCATCTCGATGACAGGTCGGAACGGCGAGGAAGAAGATTTGCACTAGGGAACGCCGAGTCTAGTGATCTTGCATCAGGTGAGGAAATACCCCACGTTTCAGGTGTACTTAATAACGATGTATATCGCTTGAAGAGGCCCATTCGGAGGGTGTCGGCATTGGGAAATCCAGCGATGAAAATCATGTCGGTATGAATATATGGACACCTCATTTCACCTAAGTAAGATCACTTCGCCAACACGCATCCCGTTATTCCTATAAGATCCCGGTCCTGCCCCGTCATCCATATTCTTGCCGCTGAATCATTCTCACTCTCTCTTTTGGTTAGCACGCTCACGAATGCCAAGCCATGCCTAAATGAACTCGATGAAACGATTTCCTCGGTATTTAATCATCGGTATTCTTCCATATTATCATCTAATCTGAAAAATGTTGACGCAAGTAATGGCCAGGATTTCATCATTTCGTTCCTTAACCTACGAAAGGAATTATATCTTATCAAATCTGTCCTTTTTCACGATCATGCAATAATTTGTATAAACATACCGATATCTTGGAATTTATATTTAAAATATTGCCGCTGAATCATTCTCACTCTCTCTTTTGGTTAGCACGCTCACGGATGCCAAGCTATGCCTAAATGAACTCGATGAAACGATTTCCTTGGTATTTTTCCATATTATCTTCAAATCTGTCTTTTTCACGATCATGCAATAATTTGTATAAACATACCGATATCTTGAAATTACTATTTCAGAGCATTTGGTCCGTAGAACGCGAGTAACCAATGTCCATCTTCAAAGTGATTTTCGGTAGTCTTAGAGAAAAAATGAATTCTTTTAACAATGACCGAACTGTTGGATGTGGGCTATCATTTTATTGCAAATCACTGAAAAGTTTCGGATGACTTTGGTACAGCTTGACTGGATTTACTTCGCTTCGGCCTCTTTCAGGCACTGCTGAAAGTGACGAAGAGCGTTTAGAATGAGAAAAAGAGATCGCGGGGAGAGTTTGAAGAACCGCCGCCACCGAAAGCCGAGTGAAAGTGAATTTCTTAGAGAGCCTTTATACTCGGCTCGTTTTTTCCTCGTAGTCCAGAAATACCCGTCTCGAGCGTTAAAAGGATATGAAAGGCGCTAAGAAATTTAATCGACGTCGATAAAGTAAAATTCATCTATACCCTTTTTGGTGGGAATGCCGTTTTGGATACTCAAGTGGAAACATAAGCTGGCGCGTTCCATCACCGTCATTTATATTTATGTTGAAGTCTTTTACAGTCTCCGTTGAGAATTATACGAACTGAAAGGTTCTATATGCCATTTCGGTAAAGTAATGATAAAAAGATCGATGTAAAACTGCCGAAATCCCATGAATTCATGACTCTTTATATCTTAACGAAGCAACGTCGCCATCTGTGACGTTTAGCTGCAACTAAATTTTTCCTCTAGAATTCTCTCGCAATCGTTGGTTAAACTATTAACCACATTTTCCCATCTGACTCTGTAATATTCCATTTCTACGGTATTCTACATTGTTCAAGCTAGGTCCTGAAACTCTTCATTTTCGATTCTAAGCCCCCAAGAAGCGTAAAACATCGAAAACGTGCACGGACCACGCCATGTTGGTTCTAGTCCATAAGTAAATAAATTTTTGATGAAAAATGAAATTTTATGAGTTGCAGGACCTACTTTAGGGCCTCCTTATTCACGTGGTAAAATTCGAAACGAATCGGTACACCCAATTCGGAGAATACTTTCCCCAACGATTTGACTTCTCAGATATATATATCGGCTGATTCTTTCATATCCTCTTAACGTCAGCGAACATCGAACCAGGATTCGCCTACTCGCTTGACCTTCTTGGACCGAGTCAGCTTCCCAGAGAAAATTCCGATTTTCCTCGTGAAAGGAGGATATCGGCCCGGCATGCTCGCTCTTAAAGTGTCTTGCGACAAGTCGGAAGTTTCTGAAATGCAGTTCCATTTCCTGTACCTGTAATAGAGTAACGACTTATTTTTCTTCACGTTTGAATATGCTGAAAAATGAAGTTTTCAGTTATTTTTTTAAATTAAGTTCTGGTAATTTCGCGGAGGCTCACAGGAGGATTTGACTATACATTGTCCCTTACGTATGTATGTATCGGTTTATAATCGAATTCCATATTACATTCAGGTACGTTAATATATCTGTTTATGACTAATTCGGTTTCTTCCATCTTCAGTTGTCATCCTAAAGATGAAACTGGCACTTCTTCAAAAATGCATCGATTCCCTTTACGATAAGTTCTCCTAAGAGAAGTAAAAATCCATAGTATAAATTTGTTTAAGTAATGGCGGTAAGAGTACTTATGTAAAAAAAAAAAAGAGATAGTTTTTCTACAAGAAAATGTATACTTTTAACTCTGAGAAATCATCACTGATCATTTACATTTTAGAATTTTCGCTGGCTAAACAATATGGTCAAAGTCGGATTCTAACCGCATTGTTTCCGTCTGCATTCATCCTCCGCAAGCGTAACGCATTTTTTCACGTTTTTGCGCTTCGTCAGTCGGTCATTTCGCGCGGTAGGTTTCAATTCCGATTTCGAAAGATCGATCTTCGAGAGTTGCGAGGGGGCGGCAGTGCGCATGCGCGCTCGGCATGGGCGCGAGTTCCGAATCACGTGGCCCGCGCGCGTCACGAGGTGCGCACGGGGTATATATAAAACGTCGCATAACTGCATCTAAGGTGCGTTTCTCGATCCCTCCGCGTCCCGGGGCGCCGACCGGCGGCCGGGGGAGGCGCGTGATTGGTTCTTTCCGATGGACCGGCGCGCCTGATTGGCTCGTCCGTTGGAGCGCGGCGGTACCGGCCACGGTAAGTGGGTCACCACCGCGCCGGGGCCTATTGCGTCGCTGCTTTCTCTTCGCGCGAGCGAGTCCGGACTGGTCCGGACTCGACGATGAGGAATTCTAACGCTTACGTGTCTCGGCCCGACCGTAACGGTTCTGCACCTGTTTCGGGGAACCGGATCTGCCAAAACCGCGGAAAAACCGCACGATGGCTTCTCTGGACCCTTCAGCGACCGGGAACCTGTCCATTACGTTCGGAATGTCGTTACGAGAGAAAAGGGGGACGGTTTTCGGACGGGGTGACGAAACTAGGTTAGTCATTTCTTCACGATGAAATTGCTCTTTCATCACGGAGAAATTGATTTCCTCGTTAAATACTTGTCCTTCAATTATATCTTTAGCTAACCAGGTACGCAGGATGAAATGATACCCTAGTAGCACAAAATATTTTCCTTATACTTTCTACATACTTACGGAATATCGTACATGTTGTAAATATTTACCAGACATTTGAAATATTTCCAAAACATTTACTTTAGAATATTATTTATATCGTGTTTGTGTATTAGCTTCACGTGTTTTCGTCATATTTATTTTATAGACGTACGAAACGTTTCGTTTCATTTTAATACAAGTGTTTTTTGTTAAATGTCATCTGTCGAATTCACTATAAACGTTTTAAAAATATTCAAAATCACACCCATAATAAAATAGCTGAACGAAAATATTGGAAAAATTTGTTATATTTTTTTTATAACAAATGAACTGTCCGACGATGATGAATTTATCGACAACTAGACGGTAAAGTGAAGGAAAGATTTCTTGTGTTCTTACAGTGCGGCAGTATGTTGCACGCGCAGCTAGAAATCTGGAAGGCAGCGGTCGAGGAATCCCCTAGAAATACCCTAGCGGCCTCATGGAGCCCCACGGCGGTAGTTCTTTCCCCTGGCAACGGCGCTGTCAGCGTCGCCTCGCCTCTGAACAGCACGGGACCAGGAAGTGTCAAGGGATCCACTTGCACCGTAGACTTTTCCGATGGTGAGTCCAGTTCATCCTCTTTCCTTATTTAGATAAGTTCTTGCCAGGGTTGGGTAATTCCCCGGTCCCGAGGTTCTTCTTTTCAAAATGAAGACACGTTAAGACCTTCGATCCTAAGTTTGGTGATCCTAAGTTTGGTGAAGACGACCTAAGTTTGGTGACGAAGGATGCTCTTTATCATCTTCCAGACGAAGACGAGGAAACCAGTCCGACCCAGACCACGGGAGGGGTTAAAATCAGAAACGGAGGTTCGCACATCCACCTCTGGCAGTTTCTGAAGGAGCTCCTCCAAAGTCCTGGAGCTCACGGGTCCTGTATCCGCTGGCTGGACCGCAACAAGGGTGTCTTCAAGATCGAGGATTCCGTGAGGGTAGCTCGTCTCTGGGGCAAGCGGAAAAATCGGCCAGCGATGAATTACGACAAGCTGAGCAGAAGTATACGGCAATACTACAAGAAGGGGATTATGAAGAAAACGGAGCGAAGCCAAAGGCTCGTCTATCAGTTTTGCCATCCGTATTGCCTCTGAGAAACGGAAGAGGATCACGAAGAGCAGCTTACGTAGACCGAGGTCAGTCCATCAGGTCCACCCCCATGTTCCTATCACCCCTAAGGTAATTTCTCCCTTTCGCGATCGCTCTCATCGTGGTCATATTGGTCCTTGCTCGGTCGCGACTCGTCCCGGCCGTCGAGAACCCCCTTTTGTACATTTTGTAACCCGGAAACCGGCGTCTCGAGGAAGCAGACCCGATCGGGCTCGAGACCGAGCAACGACGTCGAACTCCCGTCTCTCTCCTTCGCCGGAAGTCGGACCCGCGTACTCGCTCCGGGCGCGGAAGGAGAGAGAGAAAGAGACTCCATCTCCGAGGAGGTCGACCATGAGAAAGGAAGGAGCAAGAATCCGCCGTGTTAGGATTATTTCGGAAATAATCACTAACAACGGCCGCGGTTCGCCAGAGTACGCCCGTTAGGGCGGCCCCCACCCCCTCCCGCCATATCATCCCTCGTGGTCATCGATTGGCGCTATCGGCTTCGAGAATTGGCCGGTAAGCAAAAACGATATATCTATTTATTATCGCGCTCGCTCGCTCGCTCGCGCTTACGCTAGTATTATCCGCCCCCTTATTTCCATGAGATATACCGGCAGAGAAAGAGTAACATCCGAGGTTCATTGTCGATCTTCGCTCCCTCGTGACTTTCGTCCATCAAGGTGCAAGAACAAGGGTAGTCCACCCCTCGAGAAATGTTCCTACATTTTCCCCCTGGGAGAAGGGATGGCCAAATACACGTGGAAATATGGTAGGCAATTATTAATCCTTAAAGTACTACTCCAGCGTTTCTGCGCGGGCGGGCGGGCGCCACCCAAAGAAGCGCCTCATCCCTATCTCGCACTTCGAAGGGCGCGGGAGGTACGTCCCGCGTCGAGTTCGTCCATTTCACTCGTTACTTCCCTTCCCTGTAAGCACCCTTCGGCTCTTCGTAAAGGTACATAAGAACAAGTTATAAGCCTCTTCTTATATAATTGCTTGCTGGTCCCTCCCGGTAAGTTCCGACCCGTGGCCAGGGGCTCGACCGGAGCGGACGGAACCGTTCGTCCCTACCTGGTCGAGCTTGCCGCTTCCCGAGGAAGGTGCCCCGTTCCGCGTTCCCAAATCTGAACCCTGACCGCGTCGAATCGAGGAATCGCTTTCGACCGATCGGTCGATTGGTCGATTCGCGATCCCCGGACCGATCGACGGGGAACACCCTTTCGATTGGTCCTTCCTCCGGGGGGATGTTCGACGAACACCCGGGACGCGGAACTGGGCCTTCACCTCGCGAAAGACGGCGCCACGCGGAACGCCTTCGGTTGGGATCGGTGATTTTGGTCCCATATATCTATGATATATTAAATATTGTATGTTCCATGAACGATTAGGCTTAAGGTGGTTAGGTTAAGGCAGCGACTCACGTGGGCCGCTGAGTTACGGTAGGACCGATGAGGGTTGATTCTCTAACTCGAGTTTGGCGGAAATGCTCGTTCTGCCATTCTCACTGGGGTGAAGATGTAAGTTGCTTCGCGGAAGAGTACTCGACGTGATGTAAAAATAAAATTACGTTAACGGTCATAAACTTAAAAAAAGTCATATAAGAAATTTCCAAACAATGCGTACCAGATAACTTTCGAAATTACAGCACGGTTTTATAAGGTTTTAAATTTATGTAGAATTTTATAATAAGTGGATAGTAATTCCCTATTGAGACATCAATTTTATAATTTGATTGCAACCTTATTTACTTAAAGTGTATGGATTTTATGAATTTTTTTTAATAGTGTATACACACTCGTGCTCGGGCATTTTCACCATGTCTTTAATTTAGGGATTTTATATTCTCACTCGGCGGATACGGAATCGGGGAAATAAACTCACGTGAGGATGACAGGGTGAGAAGTGAGCACTCTCGCCGAAGATACAGAATCGACCCTCAGGAGGTGCACGCGACTCGCCTGAAGGGTTAAACTTGCGAGAAAACGTTTCCAGGCTTTTACTTTTGATTTCTTCCGAACTTGGTATACGTGTGGTGAGGTTTAACATAATTGACATGTGTCTTTTTTACCGATTCTTATCGGTTTTGGCTTATGATTTTTTTTTTATCTCCTGGTAGCTAATTTCATCCGTACCTAACCCATTGTTTATGTGTAAAGTTTTCTCCCTCTTTGTGGTCCAAATGTCCGCAGACGCTTTATGAATGGCGAATTATGCAGTAAATTAACGTTTTTATGACACCGTCATGAAACAAGAATGCACATCTTTCGATAGACATTTTTTTTTAATATTTACCCTGTACGCGGTAAGTGCCTGGAACCATTTCCTCGTTAAGAAAACTCGCGTCGACCTCGCCAGATATTGTTTTTCTTTTTTTTTTTTTTTCGATTATTATACCTTAGAAATTTATTCCTGCGGCACTGGACGTGCATCTAATTATTCGATTCAATAAGCCTATGTACGTACGAGCACATTCCCGGTTGATAAAACGACCGCTGGTTATCATCGCAAGAAGTTGCACCTGTTGAATCCGTTCTACACCTGATTTCATTGGAGGTTTTCCAACGATACCAGGTGAGGTCGAAAATGTCCGTCGTCTGGTAAATCGCATCTTATCAGACCTTTGAAACATTTCTCATTGACAGCTTCGTGCCTTATGACTTCTTGCGTGTACTCGTGCCCTATATCAGTTGCGGTTTCGTTATCTTCGAGTACCTAGGCATTAAGTTTATTTATATAAATATTTCATATCCGACCTCGGAATTTCGGCGCAGCAGGGGGGGCAAAATTTCTGCACATTTGTCCCGGTACTTCTGCGCCAGATTTTTCGTTCAGTACTATGCATTACCGTACGTAACGTCGTAGGGGTCTGTACATAGGATCGGTGGCACAAGAGCGCGCGAAAGTTCCGAGTACGTTTACGCGCACGATGGTACTTATATTTATATTTATTATAACGTTATCAGGAGGATTAAGTTAACTATAACGAGGCCAAGCCTCCCGTCCGAGCCTTACGTCCGCTCAGCGGTGTATTTTAACGATAAGCAAGGATTCCTCCTTGGAGGTACCCTCTGTTCGCCACGAAATGAACACGTGGTCCATGAACTTTCTCTCCGCGATTCAAGAGCAGGTCCAGGGACTTGTGCGTGGCCAAATTCGACAATACTCACCGCGAAAGAGCGGCCAATTAATATATCGAGCTTCTTCTCCAAGCGTTAGTTCGTAAGGTTCGATTACTCTCGAAGTACCATTACTCGGGACCCGACTCGAGGGTGGAATGTTTGGTACCATTCTTTTCTTACTTTCGAGGAAAGTACTTCAATCGCACGGCTTAAGGTGACATGAAAATGATATATACATAATTAAACTTTAACACGTGATTATGGGGGCCCTGCTTATGAAATTTCTCTTTTCGAAAAACATTTTGTACTTATCTCGGACAAGAATGAAAAAAGGATTTTTTTTCTTTTTTTTTTTCGTAAAATTAAATTTCATAAGCAGGGCCTCCATGATCACGTGTATTTCATAAATATTTTGACTTTTTGTTATGTACATGTTGTTATGTGTATGTCACACCTTCGTATCACCTTAATGGTGTGCGTGGGTCAGTTTCAACATCGGCGTCCTTCACCTCTGTACAAATCGACAACTGGAGGCCTTACTCTATTCGGAAGAGACATTGTTCAAGCGTTTTTCGACCGATTGACTTATAGTTGATGTTGATGCTCTCTCAACTTCAAACTACACGTTAGGGTGGATCCCCTGAGCGAGAAGCCCTCTCTCTTCCTCTCTCTTCCTCCTGGAACTGTAGATGAGAATGTAAGACATATGACTCCACTTTTGTTCGACAAATAGTAGGGGAGACCGAGGTAAATTGTAACAATTTTTACGTTTTTATTCCTACAATTAATTGTAACATCTTATGATCGAAACTTGATCTTGATATTAATTGAACTTTTTCCTGAAAGACAGCCTACATTTGAATGCTTCAAAATCCTATAAAAATCAGGAATTTTCATTTTCTCTACTAAATGTATTTGTTACATTTGCAACCGTTACAGGGGACATTTGTTACACTCGTATTGGTTAATACAAAAATATTCAAATCACTAAAGTTAATACCTATGTTTTGGTAAATACGGGGGAACGCAACGAAAGTTACTTATATAGGATACGTATAAAAATAAATAAATACAAATGTCACACTTTTAATTAGTAATACATTTCGAACAATTAAGGTAGAAATGGTCCGTCTTGTTTTCTTTGTTTCCTGATGCAGTTTTCATGGGAACATTTTTTGCATTTATGGTTACTTGTTTACTTACACTTGTTACAATTGTTCCCGAAGGTTCTTTTCAAATAATTGACACAATACAGCAACTTTTTGTTAGAGCCAGTCTACTTTCAAATGCATTTGTAGATACAATTCTGTGGCATGATTAAATCAGTTTTATCCATTTCTTATTTAATATAAATCGAAAATATTGAACTCATGAAAATAGTACTGACCTATGCCCTATCAGGAAAAATGAAAATAACAAGATAACTCCTGATTTAACGAGTATGAAAGGACTGCAAGATAATTCCCAGTATCGATGGAAAGCTTCCACTGCTTAATAACTTTTTCCTCAAGTTTGAGTATATAATTTATAACGTTTGTTACAATCGCCCCTTGTTACGTTTGACCTCGGCCTCCCCTACTCGCGCCGTGTAATTAGAACTCATCGTTTAAAGGTCCACTGGAGTCTTTCGATTCTGCATATGAAGCAACGTAACCCTAATCTTGAGAGTAATTTAGGGAGGTACTGCTTCAAAATTCGAGTGCCTCTCCTTTGCCGTCTGGTACTCTCTCGTAAAGCTTCGAGGCGTGCATACACTAGACGTAAAACGTACTTCGGCCGGCGATAGTGGCACGCTGTTATTTATCGGCAGTGCTTAAAGGTCGAGGTACACGAAGGGTTTACTCTTAAAGGTCGCGTAAAGAAATGAGCTCTCCTTCGGGTTTGCGACTTTTTGCGAGGTGAGCCTCTCGCAACGGGCGATCTTCTCGTGCTCAAGGTGCTTCCAGTTTATCGTGCTCGGTACTTACGGTTTATTGTACGGTTAAACCCCGATTGCCCGAAATAATTGGGGGGAGATAGTTTCTTTTATTTCGGATTTGCGGACTAGGGACGGTTGACATATCGAGGAAGATGCAGTACGCCGTAAAATGTGGGAAAGAAGTGATGGCTGTGAGATGAGTTTTGCGGGAAAACTCGCAAATTACGAGGGGTACTTCTTCTCAAAGTCTATTGTCTCATAGAGTCTTGCGTTTTGCAAGATTCGATATGGTACACTGTTAAAAAAATTCACTGAATTTTACAACATTTTTCATGGAAGTTTTATTCACACTTGGTATTCTAATTTTATAACATAGTATGAAAAAAAATATATAACGTGTGTTATAAATTCAGTACACACGTACAAATATGCAATAAAATTATTTTAAAAAGTAATAATTTTATAATAATTTCGGAAGGCACATTTACGAAATTATAAATAATGTCACTTCCGAATATATAAAATTTATCATTTTCCCCACGCAATTTCAGAAAAATATAACAGTGTTATGAAATTGTCATTTTATTTAGAGGTTTGCAGCAAATGTATACTAATTCACTTATAAGATATAAAATTTATAATTGTATTATAACCTTATGTACTAAAAGTGTGTGAATTTTTTCAACAGGGTAATTAGGTTAACTTTTGAGTCTTCCATTAAATTGAGGTAACAAAAATTTACTTCAATTAATGATTTTTGTAAATAAGGGGATGTATTTGCCGCTACTAAAAAAAACGGCGAAAGACTGTACATATTATAATGTAAAAATGTAAATTGTAACTCTGAAAGAGGAAGATTTCAGATATCCGCCAGATGTACAGAAAATCTGCAATATTTTTAAAAATTGATAGGTGTTCGTAATCGTGATAGGTATTTCATGTTAAGACGGTTTGATAAATTGACAACTTATGTCTGGTGAAATTATATTTACATTTGATACTCAAAATAATTGACGTTCGAGGAATCGATATTTTATTTTAAAACTATAAGAAGCTTAGAATTCCCTAATTAGAGTTACCAGAATCTTAATGAGTTTCTTATTTGGAGGTAGCAGAACTATTTTTTTTAATATTTAACCGGTTCACGTCCACGGGCAAAATTCATTATTTTAGGCCATAATCAACAATAAATATTCCCATTTCGTCCGTGCACACCCTGATATCAAATGAATCTTTACGAGAGATCCATTTGACCCTTTGGCTACTAATTATAAGAGCGTCTAAAGGCGCCCGACGTTTGGTTCAATATTGCCTGCACGGTCAGAGGAATTTCGCCCCTATGTCGAAATGGCTCCGCGTTCAAAGGGTCAAGTATCCGCAGAGTCGGTACTTATAAACGCCGAGAAAATATAATGCCATTCCGGAGAGAGAAATGTGGAAGGAAACTACGAATGCGTGGAGAAAGAGAAAGAGAGATCGCAACTTGCCGTGTACGCGTGTTATTAATTATACATAGGATATGTATGTATGTGCATAATTACAAGTACATAATTACGTGCTAACTGGAACGCGAAAACGGTTGCACAGTATTTTCTACTCAAGTCCATCTTCACGAAATATCTCGAGTGTATACATAATGCATTACAGCGTATGTCCTAATGAGATTATCGATATTATATATATATATTTTTTATTACGATGATATTCTTTATTAATAATAACGGAGTCGACGACCGTCGGCTAGGGAGAAGGATCTGGGAAAAGTGTGCGAAAGTAATGGCATTCTTAAAAGTGCTTTTCCCTCTTGCAGGTGTTTCGTTTTCGGTTGCAAAACGAATCACATGACTCGTCGATCGATTTCGAGGAGCGGACAGTGTAAATAAAATATTTTTCACGAAGCGCGAAGTATTTTTCCGAGTCAAGTTGAATCGTTATTAGCTAATGTTAATTTATACGACACGTACGATTCGTTGCAATTTTTCATATATGCGAATCCGTGAGTCAGTACTCGACGGATTGGTGCAATCACTCCGTTTAAATGGAACGTAAGCGATTGCTAGGTGTCCGACATTTTCCTGAATGCAAGTAAATTCGACTGAATTTGTGAAATTTTAAGGTGATGTGAAAGTGGCGACGAAGAGGTCTCATTTATGAAACTTATCTCCGAAATGGGTTCATCGAATCGTTTCAAACTTTACGTGAATGCAAAGACTATAAGGAAGGTCCTGACGCTCATGAAATTTTAAGACAATTTGTTTATAGCTACTTTGAAAATTTTGCATAATTTCATATATGTATATACATATATATAAAACCGTAAAAATATTTACCAAACTTTTCGCCAAACTGGGTGCACCGAATTATCTGAAACTTTAACACGTGATTATGGAGGCCCTAAGGATACATCATTCGTGATATTTTAATTTTCAAAAAATATATAAATCTTTTCTTTGGTTCTTGTCAGAGATAAATGCAAATTTTATCTTTTCGAAGGATGAAATATCACGAGCATCGCGTTCTTCCTTAGGGCCACCATGATCTCAAGGTGAAGTTTCAAATGATTCGGTACACCGAATTTGAAGAAAAGTTATATAAACATTTTGACTTCTTCGTATGTATATATGACACTTTTACATCCCTTTAAGATAGGAATTAAAGGTCTCCATCTGCCGAGATGACGATACCAAATGATATCTATCATCCGTGGAAGCGATTTGCCGAATTTTCCGGCTCGTAATTGGCCGAGCTTAAAAACAAAGCTTGATAACCTTTATCTCCTCGTTGGTTGGCTTTTTTGGCTGTGCCGAATAAATACAATTGACCAGGTGAAAGTACACTTGAGTCATAGGCATTCGACAGTTGTCGGGATTTCACGTGATTCATCTCATAGAACGTAAGCACGAATCGCGCAAGCGGTAGCGATTATTCCTCGCTCGATCGACGAATAAAGTTGCGATTATTTACCGAGAATGTCTATTTATTTACCATTGTCATATTACACACACTTCGCATACGTTACATTGTACACTTACCGGAAAACCTACATTTTAGAAAAGAAAAGGCATTCTTCGGTCGAATAGATCTTTCTACTATTCAACTAAGTCGACACTTTTCTTATGTCTATATTATAATAATTTGTAGTTTCATTCGCGACAAGTTTGAATTTTCTTTCGATACCAGTTTTAACATTAACACTTTCCGTATAGTGTATTAGTAACTCGACACTTTCATTCTATCTGTATTATAATAATTTGTAGTTTCATTCGCGACAAGTTTGAATTTTCTTTCGATACCAGTTTTAACATTAACACTTTCAATTTGGTGGACGCTTCAGAATTACGCGCAT